AATCAAATAACTATATAAAAATACACCCATTTCCTAAATATACATAATAACAACCATATATCCAGTTTAATTTCATAAGTGAGGTCTGAGAGGAGCTGGGTTGTGTATCCTTACACATTACCCCTACCTTGCAAGGTTGACAGTCTGTTTCCATTGACGGAACAAGAATTTTCACAATAATTTTTAAAAAAGGTAAACACACACCAAAAAAAAAACTAAGAGAATTCAACCTGTACTATAATTGTGTGTAATATTTCATGGAAGCCTCGACCCAAAAAGAAAAAGAGAAAACAGAAGGAATTGGAATGAGAAGAGTATAAAAGCATCACTAACTGAAATAACGGAACCCCACAAGGATGAGTTTTGAGAGTTATGAAAAAAGAAATGGCCGCGCAATGTCAATGGCAACCCACTAGTATTTCAACAACATTGAAGAAAGATGGTACATGCAAACAACTTTCAATTAACAGAGGCAGAATAACTTTTTGTAATTGGAGATCAAAGTACCTGTTCCCTTCTCCAATGACTGAACAATGTTGCACCAGCACAACTACTTCTTTTCCAGTTTCATCAGCGTCTGCGAGGAAGATCAAGTCACAAAGAGGAGATCATCAATATGAATTAGTGAATGAGAATGGATGGAAAGTCACAAGAATGAATGAGACTACTGAACAAGAGATGATGAGGGAAGTTGCTGTCGTTCGAGCTAAAGCCTTCTCTCAACCTATTCCCTTCTCCAAGTACTTACTCTTTCAGGTTCTTGATTTTTCATCTTCCCCATTCTTTATTTTCTTTTTTCTCTCTGTTTCTAGCATCATTTTAGGAAAAACAGAATGATGATCATATATTGTTCTCTGTTATGTAGGATGAACAACTTTCAAGACTTGTATACAAACTGAAGAATTATAAACCAGACAGGTAAAAATCATTTATTTTCTCTTCTGTTATACAGTTCTCTCCTTCTTGTTGAAAAAATCTAAACTATGCTTCAGTCACAAACAAGAAAATCTAACTGCATTATGAACAATATCTAATTTAGATATGATGGTCTCCATCATTTCTAATCAAGCTCATATCATTATTATCAGTTTCTGAAATAATTGACTAAACAGGTATGCATGTTTAGTTGCGGAGGCCTCAACTGACACCCCTGAGGTAAAACAACAAGTTGTAGGAGTGGTTGATGCTACAGTATATAGCGATGATGATGTTCTTCAGTACCTTCCGGGAGGAACAGAATATATCTATATTTCTGGGATTGCTGTATTGAACAAATTCAGGTTCACGATTCAATCGGATATTAATTCCTATGTTAAATGAATGTAGAGATGAGTTATGTGTGCCTTTTATGCTAACACAGACCTAAAATTGCAGGAGGCAGAAAGTTGCAACTGCGTTGCTCAAGGCTTGTGATGTTCTTGCAAGATTTTGGGGGTTTGAATATCTAGTCCTAAGGGTTAATGAGGATGATTTTGGTGCTCAACGTTTGTATACAAATGCGGGTTATAAAGTAGTTTCAGGTGATGCTACATGCATGACAAAGTGGATTGGTCGAAGAAGAAGAGTACTTATGATTAAACAGGTCTCACATGGATCAGCCTGAAACCAAAATTCCAATTCAAATCAGTGTTTGATCTTCAGGAAAGAGTCTTTCCTTGTGACTATTTTGCTTTTTTAAATTCACTTACATATATAGCTGACTGCTTTGTTGTTCTAGCCTCATTATATCAAGTACCTTAACCAGATATAGTTGTCTTTTATAGAAGGCGTTTGGCGATAGATTTCATGTAGAAGAGAATAATATTGTTCATGTTTGAATGTACTTTACATACAACTTCAAAAGTGAAAAGTAGTTGAAAAACAAGTTTACCAAATTCTCGTGGACTGGCCATACGACTCTGAGGTTTGACTTTCCAAATGACTTGTTTAAAACAACAAGATTAGGACATTTTGGTACCTCCTAACTGATAGATGAAAATGGTGAAGAATGAACTGAGACTATTACAGCACAAGAAAGCTCTTCACGAATTCGATCCACCTGTTGTTGTGACATTTCCACTCCTTTCTTTTCTCCTTTTCGAGGGGCATTTGGCCCCGTTTCTGCTAGATGGTGCTTGTTACATGTTGAGATTAAACTTAGTCTTAATGGTACACTAAACATTAGGCAGAAGTGTATAGTTTTGAGTAAGGAATGCAAATAGGTCCAAATCAAACAAAAAGGAGATTGAAAATTCATAGTATGGACTAACAAGTTTGGATTGAAGTGTCAATATTGAATAGGCCTAATGATGGACAAAGGCAGGGCAAACAAACCAAGTCCAGGCTCACTATCACCCTCTCCTGTGCAGTAACACTAGCCTCACCTGTTTGACTTCCTTCCAATGCTATATTTCTAGTTTCCCAAGTGTTTCTCCACACAGCCATTGTCTGACAACTCCCTAAACAGGACCATCTACCAGTCCTTCCAAATACATAACAACAAGATTTACCAAACAGACACAGATAGAGACAAAGAAACAACTTTTTTGAGCCAAGATTAGATTTTGATGAGGACAAAAGTAAATACTCCCTGTGTTAAGTGTTTTGTGGTGTTCCTTGTATGGCTAGTTGAGAATTTGTGTTAAATAACTCTCATTCAAAATGACAAGTCTATTATATTCCGGATACGTCTATAACACCTGTGAAAGCAATTTCCCTTTCACAAAATCGAATAATTAGGCTGATAGTTAACAGTCGCCTTGGGAATTATAGTGGACTTTGTGAGGTCAATATTTATGGATTCTATTATGGATAAATACTCTTTCGTCTTTTTTGTTGAAATCAACATTTAAAATTTACGAGTATTTACAATATTTTTAAATTAATATACAATAATAACTCCATAGAATTTGTTCGACTACATAGAAAATCTTACAAAACTTATTTGGTTACACTTGTAGGTTTACTTACGTCTATTCTTAGTAGGTGTTTGGCCATGCGATACCATATCACGATATGGTATCGTGAGATGGAATCAGCGTTTAGATATGCGATTTTACGCTGATTCCATCTCATGATTCCATATTCTCCAAAAACCATGATATGGAATTATCTGGGAATTCCATATCATATATAATTCCATATCATGATTTGAGATATTTTAATACAAAATTAATTCACAAGTTTATATTTTGTTAAAACAACTCCACATTTATATCTATTAACCATTTATTTCATATGTAAATAAAATTTATAATCACATCATTACTTTTAAAATTTATTATTCTCACCAACATATAATCACTTTAACACACACCAACCGATTGTTGAGTAATAAATTTGTTCTGTTCATTTACTCCAACACTTAATTATTACTTCTACCGTTTTGTATTTATTACAACTATAGTTATACCTATCAACATTGTTTAAAGAGATAATATTTATTTTATGACTTTGCATTGTCTTGAAAGCACTATTTTTATTACTCTTACAAACATTATTTTATGAAATGCATTCTATAATGCTTCCAATTTATTTTATGTTCACTAAACTAATATTGATGTATTTTTTATTTGGTAGGATTGTGTTGGTGCAATTGATGGAACATATATAGAAAAGAGGCTCCTAAAGCGGTGCAACAATTATATCGTAATCGCAAAAGAAGAACATCACAAAATGTCTTATGTGCTTATAATTTTGATATGCAATTTACCTTTGTTGTTGTTGGTTGGAAAGATACTACACATGATAGTAAAGTACTTGAGAATGCACTTGTTGAACCAACGTTACAATTTCCATTTTCGCCACATGGTAACTTTAAATTACATCCTTAGAATAAATATTATTTATTTACACAAAACTGTCTCATTTACGTCACATATGCTTTTAGTAATTCTTTATAAAATGTTTGTTGGTAGATAAATATTATGTTGTTGATGTTGGTTTCTGAAACGCAAAATGACTTTTAGCTCCATACAAAAGACTACGCTATCATTTGCAAGATTACCGAGGAAGTGAAAGAAAGCCTCAAAATGCCAAAGAACTATTTAATTAAAGGCATTCATCTCTGCGCAATGTGATTGAACGAACTTTTGGAGCTTGGAAAACTAGATTTAGAATACTGAAACAAGGCATGAACCGTTATGATATTGATACACAAGTGAAAATTGTCATAGCTTGTGTAGTGTTACGTAATTATTTGCGAGAATACCAAAGTACTAATGAAATATTTATAGTTTATGAGCATGGAAATATAGTTGCAGATGATATTGACCAACAAATGGCTCAAAGTAACAATGTTGGTTCGTCTTCTCGGTCACATGATCGAAAAAATGCAAGTTCAACGTGAGGAAATTGTATATACTATGTGGGAGGATTATATTAAAGACTAGTACACTACAATTTATGTTTAATTTTTTATTAAATTAAAGTTAGATGAAACAATTACTTAAGTGGAGAACAAATAACTTTGTAATAATTTATTATGCGATTTTATAAATTTTTGTTTATTTGATAAGATTGAATAAACAATTGAGGCTATTTTAATAGTTTTACAACTTATGAGATTTTTATGTTTATGAAAAAACATACAACACAAAAATTCCATATGACATGTCCAAACAAAACTTCAATTTCATCTCAAGATATCATATCATGATTCCATATCGCATGGCCAAACGGGGCCTTAATCAATGGTCTTGAATTTTGAGTCCTAACAATTAAAAACATCTTTTGTGAGAAATATTTATCTCCAAAATAGACTTTTCGACATAATTTGATTTAAAACACAAAGTTTATCATAAACTATTTATATATATTAAGCAAACTTTTAATTACAATATAAAGTTGAAACCAAAAAGAAAAGCATTTATTGATTTTTATCTTATGAGGTTAATTATCATTGGTTGATTTTGTTGAGCCAAGAAGCAAAGAAAAATAACCCCTTCCTCACATAAAGTCGGGGATAAGACTGACATACCCTACCCTTCCTTTATATTTTCATGTGTAGAACTATACAAATATGTTATTATTGTTGTTTGTAAATTATGGACTTATCGTTGACACATAATTTGAGTGCCAAATTTTGTAAACCAGCACCAACGTAACACCATCTCGAGGAATCATGGACTTGTAATTTTCCACAAGCACCTTCTCATCATACTCTTTCAACTAAGGAACTTTTTAAATATAAATACATAATCCGTACCAAACTTATTTGAAATTTTACAAAATCAGACACCATATGAAAAAAATATATATATTTATTGATTTGTGGATAGTTGTTACCCCATTCTTTTCTTTTCTTGTTAGGACCTTGGGTAATCTTTTTAGTGTATACCCCACTCCACTATTGTTGCTCAAACTCCATTGTTTGTCAATTACCGTTGGCACAGAATTGGAGTGCCAAATTTTACAGCACCAGCAGTAACACCAACACCATCGCGAGCAACTAACTGTCCCTGCGCAATAATCATGGACTTGTAAATCTCGACGAGCATCTTCTCATCATACTCTTTCAATTGCCTCGTTCCGAATCCACCACCAATCCCACTACTCATACATCTCGAATTAGCAATCTTCATCATCATATTCACATACGCATCCCGCATATTCAATAACAATTTCTTCGGCGAAAATCGCCGGAGCTTCAGATTCAGCCTCGGCTTTAGATTTATCTTCCAGAACCTTCCTCTCCCCAACCCAACCCGATTCTTCCTCCTCCAACCCGACCCGTTTAGCCTCTCATACCCTCCTCTTCTCCTCCTCTTCCAGTAACATTTTAATCCACTGTACAAGCTTGGTGTTGATACTGATAGTCCTCCTTCCATTTTTTTTAGTTTTGGAAAATTAAAAAGATAATATGGAATTGAGCAGAAAAACAAGGCAATGAAATTTGGTTTTTATAAAAAAAATAGGAGAGGGAGTTGGAAGATAATGAGAAGAATATTTAATGGGGGCGCAGGTTTATGGTTAATTCGTTACCTGTATTTTTCACGGGACATTAATGGATTGTGTAAGTACTGTGTAAAAAGACGGTGATCCTAATTTTATTTCTCCAGATTTGAAGCTAAATTAAATTAATATCTCCCACGCCCCTATTGTATACATTTATTAAGAAATTATTAATAGTAGAGTAATTTTATTTTATATTTTAAATATAATATTTTGAAAAATATAATATGGAAACGATTATAACTAATGAAAATGATAAACTAGAAATTAAAAATTATCTATTATTTTTATAAAGTGGACCATTATTGTTAGACATCCCAAAATAATATAGTGGACAACTATTGTTGGACGAAGAAAGTATCAATTATTTATTTCGTACTTGTCCACTATACTATTTTGGGATATTTAACAATATTTGTTTAGTTTATACAATTGATGAATAATTTATTATGGAAGTGCTATAGGACCAGAAAATTTGGCTAGAATTTGGCCAGAAAATTAAAAAAAACTATAATATTTTTTTTATTTTAAAACAAACCGATCTTTTTTCCATTTTTTAGTTAAAAGGTATTAAAGTTAAAAGGATAAAAATGTTTAAAAAGGTAAAATATCATTCTGGCCAAAAAAAAAATTCCATTTATTATTTTGTATCTATTTTACCCTTACTATTAAATATTATTCATTTTTCAATGTTTAGATAACTTATATTTAATAGAGGTGAATTGATAAAAGTACTCATATCATTTACTAATTTTTAATTCATATGTCAAGTCAATCGTAAACAATTATTATTGAATCGAGGAAATATTAAAATATAAGTCAAAATTCAAAGTAACTTCACTCTCCAAAAGTAAAAATATACTAACAAGTTAAAGTCAGATATTTCAAAATAATGAGCATATTCAATTGATCATAAATTCTACCTCTATGGAGTCGTTTGGTTTGAATTCAAGTTATGATAGGATAAGTTATGCTAAAATTATTTTTTATTGAATGTTTGGTTTATTGTATTCAAAATAATAAATCTTAAAAACACCATATAAGTTTACAAAAATACCCTTCATGGATGTGAAAAGTAATGTATAAAAAGTGTTCAAAGGGACATTTTTGTCATTTAGTCATTTTATTCCGGGATAAGTTATCCTAGGATTACTATACCACCCATAGGAAGGGATAACTTATCCCAGTACTAATTATTAATCTCGAGATAAGTTATCCCGAACTTGCCAACCAAACAACAAATTAAGTTGCACTATAATTTATTCCCAGGACTATTTTAAGTTATCCTTCACACCAAACAACCCCATAATGGACAACATAAATTATTTCAAGTTAAAGTCATTTTTTAAATATTTTAATAACAAAAATTTTAAATTTTAAAATCAAACACTTGGAAGGACATAGGTATAATTTCCTGATATATCTCCCTATTTTATGCAACCACCAACTAATAGAGCATTTAATATTCTTCAAGTTTGTCATCATCATCGTATTATAAAACTATATCCTAAGCACAAAATCCGCTTCCTCTTTTATGATTCTTCTTTTGTCTTATCCCTACGTACGTCCACACATTTGCGCACCGCATAAATAATATTAGATCATATGAGAAATAATTCAATTTCACAAATAAATTTAATCATTTCCCATTAGTAAATGCACTTTCATATTTTTTTTCTTTAATTTTTTCCTTTTAAGATTAGTTTATTTAGGTTGTGCCTCTAACCCATATATATTTCCTACTAATTTTGTTTCTCAATGTATATTCAATACTCCATTTCAAATTTTCAAGGATTTTTTTCATTGTTCAAAATAATTGATTTGTTCAAAGTTTAAAATGGATGTTTGAAACTTTTTTCATAATGCCTTTTTCTTTAGTGAAGTTTTATATTTTCTAGGAAATAAATTACATAATTTACAAAGTTATATTTATGGTTTTATAAAAGACAACAGTGAAAAATAAATTTAAATTATGTCCTAAAATATTTTTCTTAATAGGTATACGCTACCTCACAAATTTACTTAATATGGAATAAAGGGAATAATTACTAAACCGACTTCTATGGCTTAAACAAACAAAAAGGAATGAATATTTGATTGAAGATAAGTACTCCTTCCATTCCTATTTACTGGTCAAATATTTTCCTAATTTGATTTTTCTGTTCACTTGTCACTTTTTGACAAATCAAGGGATAACAAATTTTTTTCATCCTATTATACTCTCAATTATTAACATTGATTAATGTCTATGAAAAATATAGTGTAATTATATTTAAGACTATAAATTTATAAAAATAAAGTTATAAACTCACTATATCAATCATTATTATTTTTAATAGGTGTTTCAAATCAAAATTTAATAAATAAAAAGGGATGTTTAAGAAATAATTAATACAATCATCACCTGTAATCAATGATGTCAAAGTTTGAAATAATTAATACACTAGCTTCAATCATTAAAAACTAAATTGTTTTCAGGAAGCGCATGAATTTGGCCACTATCCCATGCATTTGTATTTAATTAGTTCCATTATTCAAGCATGGCACTACTAAGTGGTGAATTTACATTTTTCACTAAAAGGGTTTTAAAATAGAAATATATTTCTTCCGTCTCATATTATTTGATCATCTTATTAAAAATAGTTATTTCGTATTATTTGTTTGATTTACTAAATCAAGAAAGCATTAATTAAATGTTTCCTATATTACCCTTGCAATTAATTCCTTTTTAAAGTGTTCACATGTGTTTGTAAAATTCTTAAGAAACTTTTTAAGAGGTGAATTAGTAAAATCATCTTCTTATTTATGATTTCTTAATATGCATGTAAAAAAGGAAAATGATCAAGTAATATAAAACGAAAGGAATAGTGTTTATTAGATGAAACCTCAACATGAATTTTGAATCTCCTCAACCACTAAGCAATATCTAATCTTATGTTTAGGAAACTCAAAATCTATACATATATAGTTATATATATATATATATATATACACACACAAAACCTTAAAAAATATCTTATATATATCGTGTAAGGTTTGCTTGAGGAATTCGAGTGAACCTCTCACTATCCCCTAAAGCCACCCATGTTTCCACTAGAGAAATAGGATCAATGAAAAGTCACATAATCAATCTCAATTTATTTGAGACTAAAGCAAAGTAGTTGTTATTTTATAGAAAGAGTAACCTTAAATTAGTAGGGTGTATTTATTGAGATTTCAATTTTCTTCCAAATAATTAGAACCATTTTATTAAGCTTTCTTCCTTCTTTCCAAAAAATAATGCACAATTATAAGATCTCCTTCCACTTGGCTGTTTTGTTGGACATTTACAAGCTTTTATTGTGATATTTGGAAGCAAGATAAAAATATTGGTTGAGTTCAATATCACAAAGTTGGTCAAGGTTCACTTGATGACTAAATAAGAAATTAAGCAGTATACAAGTTAATACTCTTTTTTTCTTTTTACCATCGCATAAGATAGGGATCTCAAAATTAGTTCATGAGGCGAGATTGTCAAACAACATATACAGAGAGATCAAAAGTCTATATAACATTATAGCCATTCATTGTTTGGATCCATTGACTCAAGTTAATCTAGATTCACGGTCACGTCACGTAGAACCTTGGAAAGAGAAAGTGCTCCCTTATAAGAAATTTATGCATTCACAAAGCTCGAACCTAGAATCTCGTTTAACCATATTCATCCCACTATAACCCTTAGTGGCGGTAACCATAAGTATCACTCTAATAGGTATAAGGTTCAACAACAACATACCCAATGTAGTCCTACAAGTGAGATCGAAAGAGAGTAAACTCTACACATACCTTATTCCTACATTGAGAGGTAGAAAGGTTGTTTCCGATAGACTTTTGGCTCAAGGGAAAACAGTCAAAATAGGTCGATAAAAGAAATAACGGACGTAAAGAAACTATAGCAAAATACTATAAAGCTCTTAAGGAAATTTTTGAAAATAATAAGCTCCCAATACTTGAGACAAGAGAAGACAGAAGTTGCTGACCTCAGTTTCTTGGGTGTCAGAGCCTTTGTTTTCTTCAGCCTCTCTGGTGTTTTTACTGGGCTCAATCTCTTCATCTTGCCATCAGTTTTACCTGCAGCTGAAGTAGCAAAATCAATCTATTTATTCAGTAGTCCATCCAAATATAGACGAGTTGAGTTATGACTCATTTGTTGGCTTGATTGACCCAATAGATTGAACGTGAAATGACTTATCAAACTATTGAGTCAAATACTGTAACTTGGTGAGTTAACATGTAACAAAAGACCCAAATATGAAAAATCAAATTTAGAGATTGAAAATTACTTGCATTGGAAGACTTAAGTTAATACTATCAAACCTCTCTATAAGATAACATAACAAGTTGGACAGATCTGCTATTTGACCCATCTCGACCAATTGATTTTGACTCAAACATTATCAGGACGGCTGAATTATGACATGTATATTAGTCTTACTAGTTTTTACCAGCCCAAATTTGATCCAACTCTTACATTTGTTACATTTTACCTGGAGTAGTTGATACATGCTTCTTCAATGCTTCTGGGGTCTTTACTTGGCTAAGCCTCTCCATCTTATCCTTGTGGGGATTAGCTGAAATCTTATAGAAATTGTTGATTTTGAATAGCTTCTCCGACTCTACGAATTTCTTTAACTGAACAGAGAGGAGTTTCTTGAAATTCCTTGTACTTAGCTTCCATGAACTTTGCTATTGCTGGTTGGCTCGTACCATTTCGATCCTTCAGTGATGTTATTGCCTCTGTGATCATCTACAGAAACACAAAACATTAGCAGAAACTAAAGGAAAGTTCATAATTTTAAGCTAATGTTTGACCCTGAAATTTGATCAGATTTTGACAATATGATCTTTAAATATTTCGAAGTTCCCCTCAAAAAACTTCATGTTTTTTCCAAGTAAACACAACTTCAAAACTCAAATTTTCAAGTTTCAACTTCAAAGTTTATGATCAAATGGGAGCTTGTTAGGTGCATGCAAAGGTGAATTCAGAATTTAAATTTGATCAATTTTGTCTTCATTGTTCTTACCACTGAACCAATTACATTTGAAATTATGAGTTCATAATCTAATATCTAACAAAAATAGACTGTGAAGCTCTACAAATTTCAGATTTGGGGGAGAAGGGAAAGAACAAATTAAAGTACCTGAAAATAAGGTGGATTGAAATCCATAAATGAATTCGAAGCTCGAATTTCTATAGCACAATGAATGCCCGGAATTTAAATTTGATTGATCCAATCTCTATGTTCTTACCACCGAACCGATTACAATTTTGGAAATTAATTACGGTTTCATAATATATTATCTACCGCAATATCTGGATCAATTAAATTCACAGTTATTATAGTCTACATCGCCCACCTGGTATATGTGCATTTACCGGTTATATATCGAATCTATCTAACAAAAAATGAAGTATGAAGCTCTAAAAAATTTAAACTGTACCTGTAAATATGGTGGATGGACGTTTAGATATGAATTCGAAACTCGAATTTCTAAGGCATGATGAATACATCATACAAAGGCGATCCGAAATTCGAATATGATTCGTCCAAATTCCATGTCATAAACACCAAACCGATTACACTTGTGAAATTAATTATAGGTTCATAATCTATTATGAATTGTCTAACGCAAAATTTGGATCAATTAAACCCAGTTATCATAGTCCACATCACTGACGGTGTATACAAGCATTTACTATCGAATCTAACAAAAATGAAAGTGTGAAGCTCTATAAATTAAGAATGTACCTGAAAATAAGGTGGATGAACATTTGGAGATGAATTTGAAGCCTTCATTGCGGTTGCCATGGATTTTGTTCTCTATTTTCTCTGAGATGAAACTTGAAGCCTTCATTGTGTTTCATTCTTTGGGATGAAATTTTGAATTTAAATTCAAATTTCATTTTGGCGGATTGAAAGTGGAGGGAATTGGGTATGGGCTTGGACTCTATTCATCTTATCATGGGCTGAAAATTGTCTTCCAACTCAATTGGGCTCTATGTTCATTTGAAGGCCCATTAACTTGGACTCCCTACGTTTCAATTTGCTTGATCTTCACTTGACAAAATACATCGAATTAAAGATATGTCAAATATACATGTTCTTTATTCTTGTGGTCTTGCATATGCAATGTGGAAATTTGGAATTAAAAAATTGCTTTAAAAAAAAATAAAAGAGGATAGATACATTTTTATACAGAATAAAAAAGAAAGTACGACAAATAAATCAAATCAGAGGAAGTATTTAGCGAGAACATTTAATTTGACAAAGTATTATTCGGAAAATTTGCTTCAAATACCATTTATGGATGTGGTGATTTTGTGGGACAAATGAGATCTCTAATCAAATATTTCAAATTCGAATTTTAAAAATTATAATTTTTTTATAGCAAAACTTTTTCCCCTTGCGTAGTTAAATTCTGATTAATCTGATCACTGATCAGTATATTACGAATATCATATGATTAAAGAACTATAGTCCCTTGATTTAGGTGAATGGCGTTGAAATTTTATTTTTTTTCACAAGATTCTCGAAACTGAGTATCTCTCTTATGTTTCCAAGGTAATACCTTAACCACATTTTGTGAAGAGTTCAATATATTATATTATCTATCATATTAGGAGTATATAATATTATTTCACCCGTCTCAAAATATTTATCATATTTTATTATGTATCATAACCAACATATTAAGATTTAAGAGTTTTTATGTATAATTTTTAAATATTAAATTAATTTAACTTCAAAAAAATAGTTAATTAAATTTTGAAAAACGAAATGTGATAAGTATTTTAGGACGATGTAAGCAGGGGCGGAGCCAGCCTTCTGTTAGGGGTTCATCCGAAGCCCCTTCGACGGAAATTTTTACTATTTGTATATAGTTAAAATTATTTTTTATGTATATATAATAGATGTCAAACCCCCTTCGGTTAGTTCGTATGTTTAGTTCTACCCTCTTATTAAAAATTCTGACTCCGCAACTGAATATAAGCGATAAGTGTTAAAAGGAAGTATTGTCATTGTCGGTGAGGTTGTCAAGACAAAGACCACGTCATTGGTGCATTATTTTTACATCTTTCCAATTCTCACTAGCTACCATCCAAATACCTATTCTTTCTAATCTTTTTATTTTTACCTCCCCAACTATTTTTTATTTTCTCGATTACTTAAATTTATAATCTCAGAATTGAAGGTGAAAGGTAAGTATAGTTCAAATGCATTAGTGATCTAAAGATAAGATTAAATAGATGCCTTAAATTAGGGTGTGCATCAATCACTTCGATTTATGTATTATCGATTAGATTAATTGATATTTAGTTTTTAAATATTCGGTTTTCGGTTTACCTAATAAGAAAATACTTATAAAATAAATGTATAACTTCTTCAATAATTTGATGCAACAAAACAATAATGTAACTTTACAGAATGACATAAAATAGAAACAATAATAACTAATTAATATGAAATGAACTATACAAGTGCAATACAAAGGGAAATGATGTGATGTATAATAATGAAGCTCATACCAAACTAGGTGGAAGGAAGGGTTTAACGGATCGAACCTTATCAATAAGGTGAAAATTCGCATAGTTATCAGTAAATTATTTAAAAAAATCAGAAAATACATTTATTATTTTTACGAACAAATGATAATGTTTTCATTTATTTTTTAGGAAAAAGTTTACTTTTTAAATTTATAATCAAATAGAAGCTCAATCTACCGCTAACTAAATTTCCATGGAATTTCATTATAGCAATCAAAAAAATATTTAGATAGTGACAAAAAGATATATGAAATATAAATTTCAGTGCTAGCAGCCCAGACAAAGTGCCAACCTTGCACTGTATTAAAAATTGTACAGTAATGTGCGTATTGTTATTTTTGGTCATTAAAATAAACAATTGAAAAAAGGTGCGGTCATCAATACACATGCAATCTCCCATGGTATCGCTCAGTTGAATTTTCACTAAAGAAAATTTAAAATATGAAGAATTAAACGCTCAATAAAGTCAATAAATTTATTAGCATGAATATACTTTTTAAGCAAAATTTATTGAATTCGATCAAATTAACATGCAGATTACTAGCTCGGCTTCTACAGATCAGTCTTTTTTATTAGTAAAAACACTTCCCAACATATATATTTATGGTTTTTTCTGCACACTTTCTCACATGAGAGTATATTGATATTGTATCATTTACTATCCGACCTTGAAACAAATTTATTTCCACTTAAACGATTAAACAAATATACTTATATTTCCTTAATTATATCTTCCAACATAATTTCTCAAAAAAAAATTGAATTTTAGTTTTGAATGGAAAGTTTTCTTCAGACTTACGTTAAATAGTCAGACGTCAATGAGAGTATATCAAATACTAAAAAAACAAAAAAAAAAGTTATATACATGACTATTCAAGTTAGAATTCTCTTCTAATTTGTGTGTAACTGTGTACACACTTGCTACATTTTAAATCATAAATTTGTTTCTACTCACTCATTCACCAAACTCTTGCATATTGTATAGTGACATAATATAAGCTACTCTTCTCCTTCTGCTTTCTTTTCATAATATATCCCCAAATTTTTTTGCCCATCTTTGAGTAAAACAAATCAACAAAGTTGATAATTTTCTTGAAAAAAATAAAATGGGGACTCCCTCACCCCCACATTCTCAATTCATTTTCCATATTTTTACTCTCCTTTTCTTGATTTCACTCGACCACTATTATTCTCAAGCTATGGCCAAAGACCAACTTTCTTGCACAATGTGCTCTTCTTGTGACAACCCTTGTCAGCCAATTTCACCCCCACCCTCACCCTCTTCATCTGGCTATATTTGCCCACCCCCGCCACCAGTTTATGTGTCACCCCCGAACAATGGTGGTGGCGGAAACTATCCGCCACCGAATAATAACCCTTATGGGTACCCAACTCCACCACCCCCAAATCCAATTGTACCATATTTTCCTTTCTATTTTCACAGCCCACCACCACCTACCTCCAAATCCATTCAACTAAAAAAACACCCTTGTCTCATTTTTGGTGTTGCAATTTTCTTCTTGCTTTAATTTTGAACCCTCTAAACAAGACTAGTATTTTATATGAAATTGAAGTTTATATTTTTCAGGTTTTGTACAATGTGCAGATATCAAGAAAGAAAGGCATAAGAGATCGAGTAGATGAACAACAAGTAGTGGAGTAGTAATAATTTTGGGGGGTCCCAATTATTTCCATAAAAAAAGAATGGATCTTGATTGATGAAAAAGCTAGCTGTTATTATTACTACTACTTTGTTTTCAACTTTTGGTGCTGTAAAAATAACGTGGCTGTGAGAATTAGCACATTCTCATTGTTGTACACATGTACTTCTACAATGAATTAAGGATGGAGTCATAACTTCGATTAATTTCAAAAATATTGTATTTGTGCACTGTTATTTCTTTGAGATACTAACTTCTCTAGAATTCAAGTTTGTGTAAATATTTTTTAAGATTTTCCACTACATTAATTTAACGGTTTATAACATGTTAAGAATGCCATTTAATTTCTTTGTAAGTAGATTTTTACCATATTAGTACGTAAAACTTAAAACTCATTTCATTAATATTAATGTACACTTAGCATATTGTTACTTCTTTTTTATATAATGTGGAATTTGGTTGGCTTGAGGACCACTTGGGAACTCAGCTGGAAATGTATAAATCAACCTAAGGGGTAAGAAGACCAAGAAACTCTAAAGCCATCGTTTTTGTACCTATCTCCTCAAAACCCTAAAATGAACATATAAATATAGCAGATTAATTTAGCAAATGATCAAAAGAAGTAAACACATTCCATAATGGTAGTAATTTCACCACCTCATTCTTGTAAATGAAGTACCTCTTCTTAAGCCAGAAAGCAACTACTATGATAATGCCAAATGAAAGATGGAAACAAGTGTATGTTTACACCAAATAATGTCATGGAGAGCCCAGGTATGACTTGTAAATTAACATGTATACATATATATATCCACCACCACCAATATATCTAGGGGAAAAAGGTAACTTATACAACACCAACTCCATCAAGAAATAGAAGAAAATATATGTAAAATCCGAACCTCCCCCAAATAGATGACAACTCTCTCTACACATTGTTTAAAGAGGATGTTTCTCCAATTTAAAACCACTCACTGACCTGCTAGCCAAACCTGGAAAGAATCAAACATTCAGAAACTACCACAAGTTTTAACTGCAATAAACCATTTTTGCTAAATCAAAGGCAAGGTTGACTAGTTTTACATCATTTAACACATCCTAATGCTAAATATTTTACACCATAAAACAGGTGCTCAAAAGAACAAAAGTCTTCAAAGGAAACCGTTGTCATCAGAGAGGAAATAATCATAAAAAAAAGGGAACAATAACATACCCCATCAACTGAAGTTGAATCCTCCCGATGGAAGAGATATATCGGCCCCTCCAAATTCGAATTGATCTTCAATTAATGAAACCTGCACATCTTCCTCCTCCAACCAATAAGTTTCGAGGATCTTCACTGCTTTCTCATAGATTTCAGTGTTGTCATGGCTTTGGAGGTTTTCAATCTTTTCTAGACCTTCAGCCTCGTCAATTAACTGGGCATAAACATTCACACCTTCTGTGTTACCTAGATCCTTATCAGCTTCCCCAATCTTCAGAATATTCTCAAGCCCTTCCAAGCAGACTGTGACAATTCTTGGGTCAGGACATACCAGAAGATCACACAATGGTTTTATACAACCTTGGCTCACCAAGAACCTAGAAATCAATTTACATGTTGGCTTCAAACTAGATGTAAGGTTAACCAGATGAAACTGAATTTGCTAAAGGAACCATACTTGATTTGATCATGATTTCCACCGGACGTAGCATTTGAAATTCCCCAAGCAGCCTCTTTCTTTATTTCAAATTCAGCATTTTGTAACAGATATACAAGAGGGGCAATAATGCCAGCCTCGATCACGATCTATTTCAATTAAACCCCTTTCAGTATCATTATACATAACTGAATCACATTGAAAAGGTTCTCTTTCTTCACTTATTTTCAGTTGTCTGTCAATTGATAAAAGAAGCACAAAATGTCAATTACCATACAATGTACCTGAATTTGATTTCGATTACCAGCTGTAATGTTCGAGATTGTCCAGCAAGCTTCCTTTTTAATGCTTTTTTTGTAATTTTGCGTCAACAGGTTAACAAGGCAGGGAAGAGCATGATGGTCAATCATAACCTAAACAATATGGATTCATCAATGTCCACCAAAAAAGAATCCAGCTGATAAATTAGGTAGGACATAATTTGCTTCAACAACCAAAAGATGTAGTTTTTGAGTCCATTGTGTTTCCACTACGTCTGAGAGGTAGCAAAAATGGAAGGTTGCAAATAACTCCTCACTGACAGAGAGCATACCTCTGCCATAGTACAATATGCCCTATTAGAGCTTCCCCACCTTGGTAGGAGAATAACAGGATAGCAAAGAAGTTAACTCAATTTCACTCATCTTACATTTCAGGGACCAAAAATTTAGAACCTTTACCCTATTTTTTCCCCTACAGAACAAATAGAGATGGAACACCATTTGTTCCCGTAAATATGTTGCAACAGAATTATGTGGTGCAACACTATCCCAGTGGGCAGTTGAGCAATGGAAAGTTTATTCTAAAAATAATCATAACAGTCAAACACCACTAACCCCCTACTCAGGTAGGCAAATGTGAAAACTGAAGTGCACGGATGAATTAGCGAAGACTTTTTTTTTATGACAATTAGCGAAGACTTTAGTTAGCAACCTCTCTTAAACATGGTAGAAAATTAATGAGAACTAATTGACTAGCCCAATCTTTACTTCGTCTTTTCTTTCATATTATGATTATGATATAGTTGACTATCAGAATTATTACAAAAATTGAATTATCATTGACTAAAGCTAGATTCAAGTATATTTTTTATCTGATCTGCAATAATTTACCTAAACGAAAAGAAGAAGAAGATACATCTGACGTACTGATGGATTAGATATTGAGAATTCATGTTTACACAGCGACTCATTTAAGAACGAGAAGAAGGAAAAAAAAAATCAAACATGAAGAATTGGCTAAAGCAGAGAATCTTATATATATATTGTACATGGGAGGATGATAAATACCTGAGTTTGGATATCGTCTCCTGTTACAATGTTACCAACAGTGCGCAAGGCAGGAATGAGAACAGATGGTGAAGAATGACTACTCACAAAAAGAAGATGAAGGCAGTAAGAAACATATGATTTTAACATATCGAAAGCCTAAGACAAATCCCCCAAAGTAAGATCTATGACTCACAGTAGCAGCTCAACAAGGCGGGAACACACTCCAGCTTCAATAACAGCCTGGATTTTGTCATTAGTTCCATCAGAAAGATACGAAAGAGCCCAGCATGCATCTGTCAAGACTTCTTCATCATTTGAGTGGATAAGGCGACCAAGAGTGGGGAGTGCCGCTTTTGTCTGCGCGATGAATTTTAAAAGGCATAATCTTCAAAAGTAATATAAATATCTGAAAAGATTAAACAAACTTTATCTTTAAAGTCAAACCTGCTCAAACTGCGGCTGAGGTTTTCCCCTACAAAAGTTTGACAATGTCCAGGTAGCATTTCTCAACATAGATAGCTTTGCCTGCTCATTAAATTGTGCCAGCAATGCCACTAAAGCTCCATGGCCAAGCACAAGGTCACGATACTTGGGCGAGTCACCAGCAATATTTCCCAAAGCCCAAACTGCCTATAAAAGTAAGAAAAAAAAGAACATCAAAATAAAAGAACTTTCAACTTTTCAGAAATAAATTGGCATATTTGGTGCTTCATAGACATAATATCAAGGGAATCTTAGTAGCTAAGTTGGTTGAATACTTGAACTTCCATCTTGTCGGTGAGGGTTTGATTTCCACTTTGTAATCCCCTCCCCCATTTCTCCTTCCCGTACCCCCAATTTTTTTTTAGAAAAAATAGACATAATATTATGACAATTATAAGAAGAAACATGAAAGCCTAGCACTCTTATATTTAAAGATTTACCTGTTCACGGACATCATCGCTTGGTGAACTTAGAAGTCTGATGAAAATTGGAACAGCACCATAATCAATCACAACTTTAGTGTTTTCTGATGTACCAGATGCAATATTTGTAAGAGCCCACGCTGCCTCAAACTAGATTATAGGATGCCAAAGATGTAAACATTAGAAATTAAGATGAACTACAAAACAAAAAAGAAAAAAGCAATAGATTTTGTAAAAAAACCTGCAGTTGAGGATAGTCATCTCGAGCAAGAAATTCAACAAAGCGAGGAACTACCCCAGACTGTATCACTTCCTCTATAGGAGGATTGCGTTCTACCAAAACAACCAGAAGTGAAAACGCATACTAATTAAGACACAAATATACAGAGAGGAAAAAATTCATTGTCAAGGTGATCAAACAGAAATACATTTAGGAAAAAAGCAAAGCAACACTGACCAATTGAAAGCAGTTTCCGGAACTGTGTTGTGCATTCAAGTTGCAAACTGCTGTCATCAGACCAAACCCCAGCAATCAATTCAGGAAGAGTCTCCAGCTGAAAGGTTATAAACCAATAAAATCAAATCAGATAAGTCTGTTGCTAGAGCAACATGATATTATTTTTGGCACAATGCTACTCCTCCATCGCTATAAGGATGATTGTATTTGAAGTAGACGTCAACTAATCTAATTTTTCAGTGTATAGATTTCTTCCTTTTTCTTAAATAGAATTTTTCAAATACTTGCTTGACTCTTCAAATAGTGGTTGTGTCATTTTTGTTTTGCGGACAAGGGAGAAACAAAGCAGACTGTATATTTAAACTCCTCAGCTTTCATACCTAACTATCAAAAATATTATGCTTCTCTAACAAGTAAAAAAGTTATCCTTAAGAACTAAGTGAAGCAAGTAATTAACGAAAAATAACAGTACCCAATTATGCTCGAAAGGATTAACACCGAGTAACCATTGATTGCACTAGCAATTCAAATAAAAGATTGTATCCATCAAGGAAAAATGAGGCTAAGAACTGAATGAAGAAAGAATGAACACTGAGTAAACATTGATCGTGCTAGCCATTCAAATAGAAACTGAATGCAATAAGGATTGGATAAGTGAGCGTAAGAACTGAATGAAGCAAGTAATTAACGAAAATATATGCTAGAAAGGATAAATACCAACTAGTCTTGATCGCAGTTGCAATTCAAATAAACAATTGAATCCAATAAGGATTAGTGAGGCTAAGAACTGAATGGAGCAAGTAGTTAATACAAGTAGCAAATTAAGCTGGAAATGGTGAACACTAAGTAAAAATTGATAGCACTTGCAATTCAAATAAAGCAACTGAAACCGATCACAATATCTGCATCATACGACTGAGAGTAGTTAACAAAAAATGCACGCTGCTGAGTAAGCTCAAAGAGATAAAAGATGAATTAGTCTTGATCGCACTTGCAATTCAAATAAACAATTGAATTCAATAAGGACAAGTAAGGCTAAGAACTGAATAGAGCAAGTAATTAATACAAGTAGCAAATTAAGCTGGAAATGATGAACACCATGTAAAAATTGATAGCACTTGCCATTCAAATAAAACAACTGATTCCTATGACACTATCTGTATCATCATACAGCTGAGACAATGTTGTGAAAGGTGATCGCCTCATCATCAATGGCAAGAGGTGAGGTAAGGCAACCCTTCAGCGCCTATTATCTTTGTGGCGAGGCGATCTACAAAAGGCAACGCCATGGCGACAAAGGCACTTTTTGTATTTTCGTAAAAAAAAAAAAAGGCAACCAATTTAGGGTTTTGAATGAAAGTTACCTATTTCAAAAAATATATACATAGGGTTTTAAAAGCTAAGGTAATTTTAGGGTTTTCTTTCCAAATTTGCACAGTTGCACTCTTAAACTGCAACTGTGACTCCAACTCGCCAACTCGACTAGACTTCTCCAGTGAGGCAGTGACCGGTCAGACTTTTCCAGCGACTCCAAAGTTCGACCACTATGTATTTCTTCTTCCTCTGTTTCGTTTCCCTTCTTCTTCTTCTTCTTCAGATTCAAAGTTACTTCTATTGAGATTTTGATTATTTATATATGCAACTAAATATATAAATATTTAGTTACTTCTTCAGATTTCTTCTTCCTCGGTTTCGTTTTCCTTCTTCTTCTTCAGACTTCAAAGTTACTTCTATTGAGATTTTGATTATTTATATATGCAACTAAATATTTTAATTTTTTGGTATTAATTGGTGCTGCACTTTGGTAAGGCAGACCCTTGTTGCCTGTATTTTGCAGTCCAAAACACTGGGCTGAGAGTAGTTAACAAAAAATACATGTTGCTGAGTAAGCTCAAAGAGATTAAAGATGAATTAGTCTTGATCGCACTTGCAATTCAATTAAACAATTGAATCCAATAAGGATAAGTGAAGCTAAGAACTGAATGAAGCATTTAAATAACGAAAAATACAAGTAGCCGATTATGCTAGATAGGATGAACACCGAGAGTAAACATTGATGCACTTGCAATTCAAGCAAATAATTGAATTCAATAAGCATAACTGAATCTAAGAACTAAATAAAGCATTTAAATAACGAAAAATACAAAGTACCGAACTAAGCTCATAAGAAAGAACACCGAGTAAACACTGATCACGGTTGAACTTCAAATAAATAATTGAATCAATTAAGCATAATTGAGGTTTAGAACTGAATGAAGCAAGTAATTAAACGAAAAATTCAAAGTACCGAATTAAGCTCATAAGGACACACACCGAGTAAACATTGATCGCACTTGCAAATTCAAATCAAACAACCAAATTCGATCAAAATATATGTAGCTAAGCAACTAAAAGTTAATCAACTGGAAAAATCTATACCTTCTTATCGAGGTGAGAAACAGCAGCAGTGCTAGGAAACTGCTGAGCTTGTAGTAAACCTTCACGACGCTTCTTAAGCAAACTCTCTTCTCTTTTATTCTTCCGTATCTCCACCATGTTATCTTCCCTTCTTCTCCGTCCTTCCTCCGCATCGACGGCAACTTTGTACCTGCTCCGGCGAGCCTCCGTTCTCGAGTTCGGCCTCAGTGACATAGCTCTGGTGAATCAAAATTCTGAACTCAAATCAATTATCGATAATCTCTACGAACAAAATTCAGTTTGAGGAATTCGAAATGAGAATTTGAGTTTTGTTAAATAGGAAAATGAGGAAGAAGACAATAGAGAGAGGAATCAGGGTTTGGAAAAAAATTGATTTGTTTCTACAAAAAAAAAAGTTTTGTTTCAACCACCACTGTGCTTTTGGAAAGTAGCCTTTATTATGCCGTTATCTACTATATTGCCACTGCTTCGTTTTTCTAATTAGTGAGATGAGATATCTCATGCCGGATAAAATTTGAAAATAAAATAAAATATTATCTTTTTTTTTCAAAAAAAAATAATAATCTTTGTCTATTTAGTAAATTTTTAATCCCATTATTCATAAATTATAATCTCTGATGAGGCGTCGGAAGAGTTAAATAATTTTTCTTCTTGGTTTTAACTTAGAATTCAAAAAAGTTGTTTATATTTTAAATTTCGTATCCAATTATAAATTAAGATACATAAAATGAAATGAAGAGAATAAGATTTACTATACTAATCTTTGTATGGAAATTCAGTATTTATATCAAATCAGTAAATATACTATAAATATCTTAATCCTTACTTCCAAACTCTAAAATGTGTGAATCATTTGATTTGCGTGTTTCAATTTTCAATAAGTACAAAAAAAAAAAGTAAAAGAATTATTTTATGAGAAACTATTTTTGGAAATGGAAGGATGGAATAGTAACAAGAAAAAAAACACACTTTAAATAGGCCTTTATTGATTGCTAAATATATGAATAACTATTGTTACATTTTAGTCGATGTTGTGATCATAATTATGAGCTGTCATATTTTATTTCTTAATTAATTAGACCTAACATAGCCATATTAGACGTTAATACTAGTTTTAGTATGATGTCTGGAAATGTGATAAATGCATTAGGATGGTAATAAAGCTTTCTTTAATGTGTAATGATCAACAACAATAACGACACAAGTATATCATAATTTACAAAAAAATAGTACTATGAGTGATTGTTTCTGATAAACCCTTGATTCAAATAGTAAAACATATCAAAATTACTATGTAAAAAAATACATCAAATAGAAAATAACGAAGATAACAATTAATGCATAATGATCATGACATGCAAATTAATGTACTAACTATTTATCATCTATCTATATATAATAGAAGAAGAAAAAAGTGCCACGTGTCAGCACCACAAAAAAACTACAATTTTTTTTTTTGCATATTTCCTCTCTTTTTCTTCTGTTTTATGTGGTTTACATTATCAATAATTGTACTTTATTTTGGAAGCTCTAGATGTTGAAGATGATCAAATTGATGAAGTTAGGATCAAGCCATTTATGTCATGAATATATGTAGTTGAAGAAGGAGAAACACTTTTACGACTATATCCGATAACTATGCCAAGCATGTAATATTTTAATTTTTTTCATCTTATGTTTTGTTTCAAAATCAAACTGTGTTGGATGTGTTTACATATAATTTATGATTTTTTGTTTACTGCATATTTCATATTTTTCATTTTTTAATTTTTTTTTTTTAACATGCAGATAATGATGAAACTATAATGAAAATTTTGAATTGAAAGATTAGAAGTATTTGAATTTTAAGATATTATATTTTTAAAAGAAAAAAATTATTAACTTAATTAAAACTAGAAACTCATGATTATAGAATTCTAAATAAACTCTTACTATTTTACGAATTTATCTTTTCAGATGTTAACAAATATATTTAACTATATTTTAATTTTAATTTACATATAAATGAAGATAATAGTACTATCTCTCTATATGTAATATAAATGAAAGTTGATATATATCTGCTTGCAATTAATTTATTTATCGGATGATGCTGAAAACGTTAATATGACAACGACTACAGTGATAATGACGACGACGTTGATGATATCGATATTACAACAATGAAAATGAAAGTGGACAACAAAAGGAATATTAAGATGACGAAGGAGATTAAGAAGAAGAAAAAGAAGATCAAGGAGGAACATAAAATGACTGAAATGATAAAAGAAATACAGCAAAGTAGATCACCATTTTGCATTTTGGAACATTGCAAGATTATACTAGCAACGATAAAGGAATAAACATGGATAGTTTCATTTCATCACCATAATGTGATGATTTGTATTTGTCAGACCATCACACTTCATTCTTTCTTTAAATATCTAGGTAAATATACCAATGTTATGTTGAAAATTCATAAAGTAAAACATAAATATAAGTGATAATTTGTAAATCTCATAATAAATAATTTGCATAAACTTTATTTTCTTTATAATATGTAAAGAGATAAGATGTATTACCTACAAAAGTTTTATGTGGGTAATATAGGTTTTCTTATGTGGTTTTTTTTTTTACGTTGTTTGTTAGTTTGTATTAAATGTGTAAGAATTGTTTCTGAGTTCTAAAAATTACATTAAGTTATGGAGAAACATTTTATTTTGGCTAATTTTAAAAGATCTAAAGAAAAGAGGAATATTTACGAAAAATATACATATTTTTTAAAACAAATTAAAAAATAAATATATTTCTTTTTAATTCTTAAAACATTCAAAAATTTAGATTCGTTATTTTTAATAATATCAAGAAATAAACAATTCCACATTTTCAACTAAAATAAAAGCTAAATAAAGACTTTCACTAGCTATCCATGAATTATGGATCCCATTAACGTGAAAATTAAGCGTTTTAAACTTTCAAAAAATATGTGATAAATTTGTGTTTAATTTTTTTTAAAAAAATATGTTTTAAATTTGTGTTTCAAATTTAGATAGGAGATAAGTTTGAAAATTAATTTAAATGAAAAAAAAGAGATAAGGATCTGAAAAATACCCCAACTTTGGTCGGATTTTGTTGTTGCGACACTAAACTTTCATAAGGACCTATTACCTCCCTAGACTATTTAATACCGTATTTTTTACCCTCTGAACTATTTAATAGTGTATTTTAAAGGTATATATGTTCCCACGTGGACACATTACTATTTGTGTCCATGTGGGAACATATATACCTTTAAAATACACTATTAAATAGTTCAGAGGGTGAAAATACAGTATTAAATAGTCTAGGGAGGTAATAGGTCCTCATGAAAGCTTAGTATTGCAACAACAAATCCGACCATAGTTGAGGTATTTTTCAAACCCATATTCCAAAAAAAAATTATAAGTAAAGACTTTCACCAACTACCCACAAATTAGGGACCCCTAATGTGAAAATTGATAGTTTTAAATTTATTTTATATTAAAAAATTATTAGCAATTTAATTCGTATTTTAAAAAAAAATAAAGAGAATTGTTCCAAGTAGTTACAACCATACTTTCATCAAATTTGGCTAGGAGATAATTTTGAAAATTATTTTCAATTAAAATAAAATACGAAATAAAGACTTAAACCAACTAGCCATGAATTATGGAATCTTATTAACTGTGAAAGTTGAGTATTTTAATTTCTTTTTTAAAATAAAAAACTAAAAATTAAATCCTAATTTTAAAAATAAAATAATTTAAACAATTTCAAGTTATAATAAACCATATCTTCATCAAATTTGTCTAGGAGATAACTGCACACACAATTTCAAATAATATCAACTCAAAATAAATATATCAATTCAACAAATAATTGTTGTCAAAATTCCAGTTCAACAAATCCATATACTCACCTTTACAATTATTTTAATTTTGTATATTGCTTTTATTTGCTATTTTTCATCACAAAACATAAATTAAAAACAATTTTAATAATAATAATAATAATAATAATAATAATAATAATAATAATAATAATAATAATAATAATAATAATAATAATAATAATAATAATAATAATAATAATAATAATAATAATAATAATAATAATAATAATAATAATAATAATAATAATAATAATAATAATAATAATAATAATAATAATAATAATAATAATAATAATAATAATAATAATAATAATAATAATAATAATAATAATAATAATAATAATAATAATAATAATAATAATAATAATAATAATAATAATAATAATAATAATAGCAATAATAATGTCGCACCACAAAATTTATAGATATATTAAATAGTAAATAACAATTTCTCAAATGCATGTTCAAACTAATATCATGTGCCGTTTATAATTAAAATGATTTAAACTAAACACCTTTGTTTTCTTTTTGTCCACTTGTAATTCCCCCACCAAAATGATTATCTTTATTTTGATGGCAAATGAGTTTCTTGGAGTTAGGGGTGTTCATGGTTTGGATAAAAATCGATCCAAACCGAAAAACCAAACCAAACCGATTAAATGAACCAATTTAATTTGGGTTTTGATTTGGTTTGGTTTTAGATTGTTAGTAACCGATAGTATTTGGTTTGGTTATGGTTTTGTTCGGAAAAAATTGAAGAAATAACCGAACCGAACCAACAAGTTATATACATAAATTTTATTATTATACATACATAATATATTATATTCATAAACAATTTTAAAGATTTTATATATGTTTCATCAAAATTTATTTATAATTTACTTATGAAAGAAAAAATGTCCAAGGTGAGAACATTTTTCTTATTGGTTTCATATATAGGAGTGTCTATGAAAATTCTTTGTGGGACTAAAAATATCATTGTCTCTTCCTTCTATGCCAAAATAGTGAATTTTGAAGTTTTATTCAGTAAATTCAATGATCGAAAGTTCTGTAATGCCAGTCATTCTAACTATTTTTTTGTTTGAATGGATTGTTGTCAATTTTTTCACGTTTTGAATGAATTGTTTATTTATTTTTATGTATGGTTAATAACCGAATAACCAAACCAAACCAAACCAAAATCGAAAACAACCAAACCGATAAATGTATATTATATTTGGTTTGGTTTGGTTTTGATAATTTTAAAACCGATTAAGTTGGTTTGGTTTTGATTTTGACCAATAACCGACCCAAACCAAACCGTGAACACCCCTGCACACTAATAACGGCACAAATACGTGTAAATGTGGAAGTATTTTAGTATTATTTTTGCGGATATATTAAATAATAAATTTGTGGATATTAAATAATAAATAATAATTTAAAATTAAATTTGACATTTTGTTTTTAAAAAAATTAAATTTTGAAAATTAGATAAAACCACATAAA